TGGCACGAGGAATTCATTTTTTTTTTTGTACAATATATTTGACGGTTATTTATTAATTTGTATAGATTTTGAAACCTGTGAGTTGTCAAAACTTTTGGAAGCAAGAAAAAAATGTATTCAAGCTGCTATTATAAAATTACTCAACAATGTACCATGTAAATATTATATCCAATTGTACTAGTTTAATTTATATTATGTTATATATATTATATATATATGAATGATCGTTCTTTAAACCACAAAAAAAAATAAACATTTTATTATAACCTGTCCAAAGTAATAGTAATGTTTTAGGGAGGCCATTTATTAGAAGAATACTTAAACCATTTTATTTCATTTCATTTTTTTTTTATGCTTAAATTATATTCCTAGATAATATAATGAATATATTAAATTATTATTTTTATATACGTTAGAAATATAATCAAGACAATTATAATATAATATATATATATATAATTTGGGTAGTTTTTAGCAAAATTCCAGTTTCTATTTACAATGTTTTTTTTTAATATAAAGTTTTTAATAAGTTTAACTATAAAACAAATTACGGTTTTCTTTTTTAAGGTGTATTTTATACAATTTTCATGGATAATAAATTATGATACACAGGGTGTTCGTGTCTTAGTTATGTATTACACAATAAATTAATGTAGTAACTTGTAAGGTAAGTTTGACAAATTTTTAAATAAACCTTTTTTATTTTTCAAGCTGGAAACCAAGACTATGTCGCAAATCGCATGATGTGTCGGTTAAAAGCACTGATCAGAAGTCAAAATGATCCAAAATCATATATAAAAGAAGCTGTAGTTATTGGTCATTCGTGTCATCTAACCAATATAAACAACGAGGTGGCTACACTCTCTAGCATGGTGTGGGACCTTTAAAATAAACAATAATAATAACAATTTTTAAATAATTGCTCCAAACCGCACTTGTATCCAAAATATCGAATGTAATGTACCTTATAATAAACGTGTTTTACTTGAGATTATAAACTCATTTGTTACTTTTTACTTGTACACAGATTCGATTCGAAGTGTTTTTGAAAATAGTTTTATTTCTTTCAATCTTCTTATTTATTGGCTTATTATAATCCATTTAAGCCTTATGTCTCAACCACCAGTCTTCACGGTTCAGACATTTATTCGACATTATATTTTATTCGTAGCAAATTTAGGTCAATAACATGCTCACTGCTATGGGCGATGTGTTGTTGTTGACAAGTGTTTAGAGTTTTATTGTCTTACAAAATACTTGCCCGAAAAAAACCATTTACCATTTACCTATTAACTAAAAATGCACAGCTTAATGGATAGTTTTCTCGTACAAGCGTTGGATGCATAATTATGTGTTTGTCTAAATTTGATTAAAATGTTTTTGTCCTCTAACGATACGGTAAAACTATTTCAGCAAACCACAGCTGTAGTTGTACACGAGTTTCCAATGGGATTTCGGTTGACAGCAGACGGGAACGAAACCAGCACAAGATAGTGTCAATACAATTATTGCGTTAGTCTGTCTACACGCCTTTTGTTTCAGACCGTTATTGTTAGAGATATTGTACTTTGTAAACGCATATATAGATTACCAAGGACTATCTCTCTCCGAATAGACCGACCCCAAGAAGTTCAAATGAGTATACATCCGACAGTCGTTATCAGTTAGGAGAATCCGGCTCGGTATATTTGTACAAAAGCACTGCGTTTTCGGATCTCCAATAAAATGTAATTTAACGATATTTTCTCGGAATCCCTTCTTCATTTATAAGGTAATTAATCCAGATGATTAAGCATGTTTACAATGAAATATAGGTAAGCTGGCCGCTGCGAGCATATTGTAATTTAGGGTGGTTTTCGGTTGTGTATTTTCCAAACTGATTAAGAGTTACACGAGCCACAATTACTATGGTGATTGTACAGTGTACATTTATTTAGTGTTCAGTTGTCAGACACGCTTAATTGGATCCCCGAGGCCGATAAAAAGCAAACAACTTCATTATTTTAAGTATTCTCTGATATTATACTTAATAAACTCGAGATGTCATATTATGGCGCGTTATAACTTATAGGTAAAACTAATTTGTATAAGTAAATGTATGCACGAGTAGGTATTATCTTTAAGATAATTCGTTTCGCGCACCAACAGCGCCTTAAGCAAACTCCAATTAAAAATATTCAATGGTTAAAAAGTGTAGACTTAAAAAATAAACTAATTAAAAATGTTCAATTTAAATTATACCGCCAGATTTTAATTAGTCAAAGTAGAGTTTAACCTAACCTAACTTCTTCAAGAAGAAACATATGAATCATCACGAATATGTCTAATGGTACATTTCACACGATTCAAATGTTTCTCCTTGATGGGAAATGAGTAAATCTACTAAAGTGGTAATAAAATGAGTAAACGAATAAATTGTAATTAATAAAAAATAAATGAAGCGTAACAGAATGTTTTATTAGATGACAAGTTTTGATACTACTGGCAAGTGTTTGACAATAATTATTGTGAACTGATTTAACCATAAAATATATTATACATGTATTCATGTTAAAACATATTATTTAGTATTATACTCGGAATGTCCCGTTAAGGCAACGAAAAAATGAAAAGCTCCGCCAAATGTAATAAGTTCAAAAAGAATTTTTAATCAAGGATGTATTTGCGTTTACACGCTGCGCGAATACAAATTTTAAACGTTGAACATATTTTCCAAAACGTATTTTAGACATCCATTATGGATGTCTACCGTGAAATTTATAATTAAATAACTTGGTAGCGTTATTCGCGTACGGTATACACTGATCTCGTCGGGGCGTAGAATATGCAATCAACTTTTGTGCGCACTTCATGCCACTTAATTTTCGGTACTTTGAACATGAGTACTACCGAGTCAGCTGACGTGTAACATCATAAAATATTCAACACAAATCGAATTTAAACTATGTGCAGCAAAAGTTAAATAATTACTTGTACGCTGAATTCTTAACGAACCGCTCAAAGTTCCTATTACGTTGAAAACATACACAGCGGCGATGATGTTCGGCGCTTAAAGTCTAATACACACCAATGACTATAATAGGTTTTATTCCATTACTATAACTAACCGTCAGAAAAGTCTTGGTCACCTACCATAACTATTGTTGAACTTCTTAATAATCGAGTACAGCCTTCTGGCCGTGTTTATTCTGTTTTATTTCGAATATCAATTAAACGTGTAATTTATTGTAAAAAAATGGATTAGTTACCATTACTATTGGTATGTAATATTATATGTACAGTGTATATAAAACACTTGCACCTACTGAATGCCCGAGGGGACTGGCTGATTCATCATTGTGTCAAGCAATGTTATTTTGCAGAAACACCGATTCGCAAACTCACAACATACAAAAGAAAGTACCTCGAAAAGTGTCTACAAGTTTTTCTGTTTTTAAATAAAATAACTATTTCCATTCAATAGACTTCTACATTTTTTGTATTTTCTGTTATTCTTCATTTGTACATTACATTCTTCTGTAAAATAAGATGTTTAGGCAATATGTAGAACTTGTTTTTCCCATTCAATTTAAATAAATAAAAAAATCAAATCTTTATGAAGTCGACAAAAATGAACAAATAAATAAAAATTCAAACGCTAAAATATTTTTTATTTTTTGTCTACAAATTTATGTAATGAAAAACGTTGTTAAACATGTTGCCGTTTAAAAAAAAAAAACAAAAAATCTCCCGTTTTGGCTTATAAGGAATGGGGATAAACATTTTCAAAATATGAATCACCCTGTATAACAAGAATCGAAAAACGTATGCTTTGTAGTGAATTTATAAAAACAAGACGTTTAACGTATGAAAGTAAATTCCATTCTGTACTAAAATAAAAAAATTGTATTATAATTTTATAATACAATACTTAAATATTTGTAAATAAATAAAACTATTTTGATTCACTAAACTTTTACATTTTTTAAATTTTTGGTTAGGTACATTATCTGTACATTAAATTCTTGTGGAGAAAAAAAATGTTAAGCTCTTTGTAGAACATAGAAATAAAAAAAATATTCTCGATAATGGTAAGAAGAAACGACTTCTGGTAACGTCACACTAAATAGGCAAAACAAGTACATGCATGTCAACTGTAAAGAAGAACCAGAGTGGAACATTTTTACAATAACAATTGCCTGAAGCAAAAAAAACTTAACCTAACCCTTGGTCAGTTTCTGAATGAAGCATTAAGCATCAAATGTATTCACTTAGGAGTTACGTGGACAACTCTGAAGAAAAGAAAAAAAGGTTCAGATTCGCTCCCAAAAAGCCAGCCAATCAAAGTCCTGGAATCTACATTGCGGTCAAGTCTGTTTTATTCCTCATTCAGTAACTGACCAAGTGTTAAGCAAAATAAATAAAAGAGCATGTGTTGCTCATGAAAGTAGTAGTGAAGTGAAGTTATGAACTAACGCAAAAGCAGACTTGGCCACAATGTAGATATCACTACTTTGTTAGGCTGAATTTTTTGGGAGAGGGTCTGGAGCCGGACCCTTTTTCAATGTTAGGTTTAACAGTGAAAAAGGTCTAACCTGAGTAATATTAATTTACTCTAAATTTCGTAAAACGGCGTTTGTGTGTTAGGCACGCAACAGTTGAACATTTTAACCAGAGGCCCAAATTTAAGTTTCAACAAATTGATAATATACGTTGGGTTTTATTTTATACTTTGAATTTTATTCCTATGAAATACGTTAGTATATTACAACAAACGATAAAGCGTGTAAAAAACACAAATCTAGCAAACATATTTTTTTGGGGTCTTATTTACTTTAAATTCGTATCGATATGAAAAACCGTTGAAGTATTATGTCTATGTGTAAAACAAACAACAATCATAATTTATTTTTTAAGTTTCGTATCGACGTGAACAACATATGAGTAATAGCACACAGTGCTGTGTAGAAAAATAAAAGCAATAGCCTAAACATTTCTTTACACCTGTATACATGAGATATACTTGCGTGTTGCAAAATCCATACCGATTTTACTGTTTCGGGAAAAAGCCACAAATCGAATCACTTTTAAACGGTTGTTTTAACATACCAGTTCACAAGAGTTCTACCAGAATTCCAGAACTAGTAAGTAATTAACGCATTTTTATTAAGTTTTTTTTATTTACTATTTTTTTTATTTTCGTGTTTAGATTTGCGATAAACATTTAACCACTAGGCTAATTTCATTAATAATATAGTACAGAAATTGTACACCGTTTTGTATTGATCAGAAATCGAACCTAAAATTTGCCTCATTTGGCCCGATATTTAAAAAGTTCCATTCAAAATCAGGAAAAAATTTTTCTTAAAAAAAATGTGTATACGATTCAACTTGAAATAAATTACATTAGACAAACCTTTAAAAAAAAAAGTTTATAAAATATAATATATTATACACTTTGTTTTGTAATTTGATTAACGCTCTATAAATAATTATTTCAATAATTATTATAATAATAATAATATATTATTGAAATTTTAGTAGTACACCATTTTATTAGTGTAGTATATAATATATAGATCAGGAACATAACCTAAAATGTTGACACAATATTTAAGTTTCATTCGATATTAAAAAATTGTAATTTTATTAGCGCTCTATAAACATCATTATTTTAAAAATAGTCTAAATAATGGTCAATTGGTATAAAATATTCTTTAGATTTGGTACTTTCTAAAAAAAACAGTGTTTCAAAAAAAATTTCATGTAAAATAACACTAAGCATAATTTGATTTTAACATTGATGCGCAGCTGAGAAGATATTTTTTTTTCAACGATGTTTTTATTAATTTTTTAAAACAAAATTAAATAAGTTCACCCCTTCTCCTTTAAAATCAAGAAAACACTCAAACCTTAAAACTATGGATCTCTATACATTTTTTTTAAAAATAATCAAAATAATTCTAAATTTGTATGGTATAATTTATTTTATTTTGACCATATTTTCTAGGAAGTAACTATCAAGTGCGATTTCTTGTCTACAGATTAGCTACATCAAGATATCGGTTAAGTGATTTAGAAGATATCATTTTAAAACGAAAAATAATTTTTTGCAGATAAAAATGAGACGATTTTGTGTTTTAATATTACTTGTTGTTGTAAATGTCTTAGCAGATAAAAAAAGTAATTATTGTTTATTTTATTTTTTACACTACCTACTAGAGGTAATCAAAAATCTAATGATTAATTTTTTCGCAGTTGAATATAAAAAGGAGCTTTTCTACACAAGTCAGTAATTTTTTTTATCATACAAATTTAACTTTAATTTTAAATATTTGCATATATTTATTTAATTTTTTTTTATTACAGATAGACAAATGAAGCAGATAAAAAATCGTGATGGTACATACACTTATTATTTGAATTTATTTGTTACCTCAACTCATTATTTTCTTATTCTAGGTCCTTTGTTACCGGTAATTAGAAAAATTGTTGGTGGAACTACACCGATGGGTAATTATAATTATTACAATATTTGAAAGTGTTAAGTAAGGTACATATCTTATATACATTTATGTTATTCAAATTTTAGTGAAACTGTCGTGTATGTTTGTTGCACCAGGTAATAATTTTTCTCGAATTTATGAACGTGTCTGCACATAGTTGCTTGATATTAAGTATAAAATTTTCTCGTTAAAATTTCAGCAAAGGTAATGGAAATCGATAAAGAAAATGAAAAATACGAAGAAATACTGCAGCGTAATTACTCTTATACATTTTTAATTTAGAATCTTTACATAGAACTGCATGCATAATTTTTATAAATTCAGATGTATTTTTATCTTAAGAAATGATGTACAATAGTGTTGTAAAAATTAATAAATATTTTTTTTTTTTTAATTTTAGAATGCATAGATTCCCAGAAAGAGTTGCGAAAAGAAATAACCACCTTGTTAGGTAAATAAAATAATTTGTCAATACACAATTTCAAAAATGATAGTCGTTTATTTCCAAGCAAAACAGCTGAAAATTTGATTTGAGTTCTTATATCTTAAAGCTATATGTTTTTTTACTAGAAGTTTGATGATTGTTCGAAGTATAATCATTATTTAAATGCCTAATAACTAGTCTGAATAAATGTAGTTTTAGATACTGTTATAGATAAAACATAAAATGGTTTTCAGTTATTTAATATTTTTGTTACAGGTGTCTCTAGTTCTGAAAAAGGTAATTACGTTAACCACAAAATATAACCCTAAGTTTTTTAATTGTAACTAAATGATTGTGCGTTATTTGTTACTAGGTAAAATACTATTCTTTATCTGAGATATGTTAGCCAAATATGTATCAATAGTTTGTTACGTTTTAATTATTCATATCATATTTCATTACCAATATAATATAATATTCAATAATACCTATATAATATTTGTTTTTCTTGTTTTTTGAAAACTTTATTTAAATATTTTTGGAATAACTACCGTGTTAGCGTTTTGAGTTTTGACTGTCAGTCAAGTCTTATATACACCGTCCAATAGCAGAAAGTAAATTTTAACAAAAACAATCGTTAGGTATTTCCTTGCTGATATCCGTTTGCTTGTAACATATTAAGATGGTGTCCACCTATTATGATTAAATAACCACAGTTATTAAGTTAAATATTTTATTTTTATTTATGCTAATTTTATTATTTGGAACTTTTTTGTAGCTAAACTCATAATTTCTTTTTACTAGGTGTAGTACGATCTTTGATGAGAAATTTGAGTTCCAAAAGTGATTCGACGGGTAGTTATTATAATTATATATAAAACATAAAAATAAATCTTTTCAAACCGTATTAATTGTGATAAAAAAATGTAGCGTTGATATATGAAAATTAGTCTGTGATAAACTAATTTCAAATTTGTATAGACTATTTTATAATATTTCTTATACATTTTAAATTCAGAATCTTTACATAGACTTGCATGCATAATTTATATAAATTCAGATGTATTTTTATCTTAAGAAACGATGTACAAAAGTGTTGTAAAAATTAATACATAATTTTTTTTTAAATTTTGGATTGCATAGATTCCCAGAAAGAGTTGCAAAAAGAAACAACCACCTCAATACGTAATTATAAACATTTTGTAAATATACAATTTCAAAAATGATAGTCATTTATTTCTAAGCAAAATAGATGAAAATTTGATTTGAGTTATCTTAAATCTTAAAGCTGTATGTTTTTTGATTAAAACTTTTGATGATTGTTCGAAGTATAATCATTATTCAAATGCCTAATAACTAGTCTGAATAAATGTAGTTTTAGGTACTGTTATAGATAAAACATAAAATGGTTTTCATTTACTGTACTATTATTTAATATTTTTGTTACAGGTGTCTCTAGTTCTGAAAAAGGTAATTACGTTAACCACAAAATATAACCCTAAGTTTTTTAATTGTAACTAAATGATTGTGCGTTATTTGTTACTAGGTAAAATACTATTCTTTATCTGAGATATGTTAGCCAAATATGTATCAATAGTTTGTTACGTTTTAATTATTCATATCATATTTCATTACCAATATAATATAATATTTAATAATACCAATATAATATTTGTTTTTCTTGTTTTTTGAAAACTTTATTTAAATATTTTTGGAATTACTACCGTGTTAGCGTTTTGAGGTTTGACTGTCAGTCAAGCCTTATATACACCGTCCAATAGCAGAAAGTAAATTTTAACAAAAACAATCATTAGGTATTTCCTTGCTGCTATCCGTTTGCTTGTAACATATTAAGATGGTGTCCACCTATTATTATTAAATAACCACAGTTATTAAGTTAAACATTTTATTTTTATTTATGCTAATTTTATTATTTGAAACTTTTTTGTAGCTAAACTCATAATTTGTTTTTACTAGGTCTAGTACGATCTTTCATGAGAAATTTGAGTTCCAAAAGTGATTCGACGGGTAGTTATTATAATTATATATAAAACATAAAAACAAATCTTTTCAAACCGTAATAATTGTGATAAAAAAATGTAGCGTTGATATATGAAAATTAGTCAGTGATAAACTAATTTCAAATTTGTATAGACTATTTTATAATATGTCTTATACATTTTAAATTCAGAATCTTTACATAGACATGCATGCATAATTTATATAAATTCAGATGTATTTTTATCTTAAGAAACGATGTACAAAAGTGTTGTAAAAATTAATACATAATTTTTTTTAAATTTTGGATTGCATAGATTCCCAGAAAGAGTTGCAAAAAGAAACAACCGACTCGATACGTAAGTATAAACATTTTGTAAATATACAATTTCAAAAATGATAGTCATTTATTTCTAAGCAAAATAGATGAAAATTTGATTTGAGTTATCTTAAATCTTAAAGCTGTATGTTTTTTGATTAAAACTTTTGATGATTGTTCGAAGTATAATCATTATTCAAATGCCTAATAACTAGTCTGAATAAATGTAGTTTTAGGTACTGTTATAGATAAAACATAAAATGGTTTTCATTTACTGTACTATTATTTAATATTTTTGTTACAGGTGTCTCTAGTTCTGAAAAAGGTAATTAGGTTAACCACAAAATATAACCTTAAGTTTTTTATTGTAACTAAATGATTGTGCGTTATTTGTTACTAGGTAAAATACTATTTTTTAATCTGAGATATGATAGCCAAATATGTATCAGTAGGTTTATAGGTCCTCCATAACTTCATTCCTAAGCAAAATATATAGATAGAATTGCTTATAATAGATGAATAGTTTGTTACGTTTTAATTATTCATCTCATATTTCATTACCAAAATATTTTGAGTTTTTCTTGTATTTTGAAAAATTTGTTCAAATTTTTTTGACATTACTACCGCGTTAGCGTTATGAGTTTTGACTGTCATTCAAGTCTTATATACACCGTCCAATAGCAGAAAGTAAATTTTAACAAAAACAATCATTAGGTATTTCCTTGCTGCTATCCGTTTGCTTGTAACATAATAAGATGGTGTCCACCTATTATTATTAAATAACCACAGTTATTAAGTTAAATATTTTATTTTAATTTATGCTAATTTTATTATTTGAAACTTTTTTGTAGCTAAACTCATAATTTGTTTTTACTAGGTCTAGTACGATCTTTCATGAAAAATTTGAGTTTCAAAAGTGATTCGACGGGTAGTTATTACAATTATATATAAAACATAAAAATAAATCTTTTCAAACCGTATTAATTGTGATAAAAAAATGTAGCGTTGATATATGAAAATTAGTCAGTGATATATCTTTGTTTAGCGACAATGCAGAATATTATTCTTACGTTATATTTTTTTAATTGTAAAAAGAAAATGAAATTGTTAAACGGCATATGTGAAACAAACTGTAATATTATTTAAAAACCTATGGCTTGGTAAAGTAGTGAATATTTACAAGGCTTATACTTGTTTAATTAATACATAAGTATAGGAAAATTACTTACAACTAGTTCATCATAAGAACATTTGAACAACAGCTTAATTATACTGCATTAAAAACATGAGAAATTATATATTATTTTTGTAACACACGGTTTTTTATTAAATTATACAGATACATTTGAATCGACTGGCTTTTTAGAACTTGAACAAGAGAGAATAAGCCTAACTAGTGAAGCTATAAATATATATCTCAATCTTGTAATAAGTAAGTATTATATCAATTTGCAATAGTTTAATTTATGTTTACGTATATAAGTATGCAGGGTGTCCCACAATGATTCGATAAATTAAATAACTTGTGTACTAGTGAATATATTTAAGATTTTTTTTTTTTATTAATTTATAATCATTAGCGATATAAGCACCACGTTTTTTATTGCACTTAACTATTTTACTTTCAATAAAGCCAGTTAATTAAGAATATTTTGCTGGTCGATAACCAGATTTGGATAATAACTTTTTAAGTTACTAAAGGTTAAATGTTATGATGGGAGGTGGAGTGCGGTAGAGTAGCGCGTAGAGCTATTTTTATCAGCATATAAGACTAATCAGTTAAAAATTGGCAAATTTTTAATTATACCTTTTTTATTTTTAAAGATCCAGACTGTCAAGATTATAAAAATTCTAAACTGATGTGCCGTTTGAAGGGTGTGTACAGAAGTATATTACACCCAAATGAGTTTATAGTAGAAGCTGAAGTTGTTGATGATAAGTGTCATCTAACTGGTATAGACAAAAGCAAAAACGTAGTCAGTGTCTTTGGGGTTGACGTATCAGAAACACATCATTAATATAGTAAAAAGATTTCACTTGCTTTTCAGTTATTATAATTTAGATCACTAACCTTATAGTTAACTTATTCAAAATTATAAAGAACTATTGTTATTATATTTAAATTATTATTGCAAACCTCACTTGTATCCAAATTATCAAATTTTATGTATGTTATAATAAACTGTTTTACTCATGATTATAAACTCATTCGTTGCTTTTTATCTGTACACGAATTCGATAATAAGTGGTTTTGAATATAGGTTTATATCTTTAAATCATCCTCTTTAATAGCTTATTATAATCCATTCAAGGCAGTCTTCAAAGTTTATAGTTGCCTTTTACTCGACATTATTTGTTACCAGTAGTTCGAACTCAAATGTATCCATAACATATTAAACGGAAAAAAAATTCGGTACTACAGTTTTCCTTTAATTTCCGGAAAACTGTGTTTATCGCAGATTGCGTACATTTTAACAAAAAAACCTAAAATCTTAAAAAAAATGTATCGAATCATTATAACAATTTTATGTATATCTATGAAGAATGATACTATTAAGTTTTGTGCTCAAGTACCACTTTTGACTTTAAGTTTACACGAATTTAATTTTTTTTTTTTTTACTTAAGTTTTTTTTTGGCTGAGGGAAATTGAAAATAAATTCGTAACCACCGACCCCAAAAACATATAATTTGACCACTTTTGAAGCCTTTTTTTTTATGGTTTTACTCTGATGTGGGCTTTTTTTTTTTATCTGTATACACTGTAACTTTTTTAGTACTGGACCATTTACAATCATGGTGTACCAGATGTGAGAAGCGAACAGACGCTAATAACTGTCGGTTGGTAACATCGACCCGTGTTAGGTTAGTTTAGGACCCAACGGTGGGTATCATAATATTGTGTTTACTAGTAGAGAGGTTGTAAACGAGTCGGTTCGAATGACCATTGAGTTTAGAGTGGAACCTTGCATAGTAGACTATGGCAGTTTAGTGAACTGTTTTGCCGTTTAAGTCTGAACAATTACTTCGATTAATGCAAACGCGACTATTTATGTATTATAAAAATTAAAATATTTAATAATCCAACTTATTAAAAGACTACGGCTCTTTTAAATTATATAATAAACTTCAAAGTCCAATCAAATACTATTTTACTAAAAAACAAAAACTAGATTAACATAAATGTCTAAATTTATTATTCATACAAGTTGCTGTAAGATATTGTAAAATCAACCCTCCCTAAAATCATTTTACCGAAGAGGGAAAAATTACAACGACCTTAAAATAACATTGTATTGCAAAAAAAGAAACAAAAACAATTCACGTAAATTGTTTTGTTTTTTTTATTATTTTAGAAAATCGTCAATAAGTCGGGTTGGCCATGAATTTCTTAAGACTATGAATTTGACGATTCGTATAGGTATTTCAATTTATGTAAACAGTGGAAATGGGAACGCACATCGAACAACCCAAGTGTTTTTCTATAGTAAAAAAATTGTGTTTTCGAGTTAATGCTTAGGTGAGAATTCGATAAATAATACTTCCATAGAAAACCGTACATATAAATCTTTATTTACTTTTGAACTCGGTGTAACTTTTGAAATACATGCGCTAATGTGCAAAATTATACAAAATCCTCATTCTCCAACAATTATTAAAATAATTTATACACCTATGCAATGGTCTTATCATTAATGACCTTTTGGTTCGTATTGGCCTAAAACGGAACCCCTAATTTGTTATGGTCTCTGCCGTTTTAAATATTTTCAAATTTGGCGAAACACGAAGCAGCAATGGGTATTTTTAAAATTGATCCCAAAACTTTTACTGAACTCAAACCGAATGTTTTCGACATGGCTTAAAGATGGAATGAGTACGCTTTAGAATAATTGCAATTTTGTAGTGTATCTTTTTTGAAAACATTTTTGGTTATCATATTTTACAGTATTATAAAAATACTAAACATTAACCTTTTTTTTAATTATTTTCCATAAGCCTATCAACTTTTGAAAACTTAAATAGTAACTTGTGTACATATTTAATTTACTATTTAAACTGAGAATTATTTTCTGAATAATATACCGGTCGATAACCAGTTTTGGCTAATTACTTACTGGGAGTTAATAATCATTAAAATTTAGGACGGGAGGAAGGGTGGAGTGGAATATTATTTTTTCTGCTAGAACTACGCTTCTGTAAAAATACTGACATGTGAAAAAAAAAATAAAAAAGGTAAATATTTAGTAATAGTTTTATAATATTGTAAAATAACACCAACTTAAGTGTCTCCAATTATTATAAAAGCTACAAAAATGCTATTATTTTAAGAGAAAACTAGTGTGCTGTCCTTAATGAATCAATCAATTTTCTAGTGTATTTTGATTTATCGAAAATAGTAGAATAACATGTTTTTGTAATATACTCGAAGGTACACGTGTATTAATTTTGGGTGTTTGCTTTACAACGATTTATCATTTTGTTTTCTTTGTCGATGTGCAAAATGTAGTCATAAAAAACGAATTTAGCAAAATAACGACCGGAAAGGCAAAAAACTTTTCCTAAGGGTCTAAAAAGTTCTTTTAGTTCCTGGCGTGCAAATTGTAAAATGTATTATCTACATTTCCTTTTTTTATGTAATGGAATATCAGATCAAAATTGTCACAATTTTATATATTGTTTTTATCGTTCGATCGACGTATTTTTCTGCTTAAAATGTATGAAAATTTATCGATGGCAAAAATAATGACTAAAACATTCTCATGTGTGCACAAGTGTATGTTTTTCGATTTCTTATAACCTTAGCATTTTCTGTATAAAAAGTTCGTCAATAAAATCGCACAAGGAAAACCCCGAAATTTCAACAACCCTCCCTACTCCTGGGAAAAAGGCTGAAAGTTTTAAAAAATTTGGTTGGCGCAATTTTAAGATTTAACAACTACCAAGACAAACTAATTCCAAATTTGTGTGGAATTTAAACCGTTTCCAATAGAAAAGCTAGAATTTATTTCTAAGCAAAATTTTAGGGATTTAGGTCGGGGAAATTAGACCTAAGGTATATTATCTAGAATGGTACTATAACATATACAATTTTCTCAAAGAAAAACTGTGATCAAACTTTTTTTATATTAAGGAAAACCCCCCCAAAAAAGGGGAAAATTACACTAAACCGTAGTCAATTTCCAGGTTGCTATGTGTGAGTGAGTAAATAGACACTGAAAATATTTCATTATACAACGTTATATGGGTTATTATAACAATACATTTATATAGAGAGAACCTATTTTATATTTGTGACCAATTTATAAAGATAACATAATGTTTAAAATCTGCTTTCTTTTTTACTTTTGTTCAACTCTTTGTGGAAGCAATTCCTTTAATGTGTAAAGCCTCAAGTGTAATTGTCATTTAAATGTATTGTAGTATGTTAAGTATGCAATCAGTGAATGTACAACTAACAAACTGGGAGCATTCACTTGTTTTTCGTTGATATATAACCATAAATGAACCATTCAATTCTTTAGTCACTCTTGCATTATAGATTCCAACATAGAAGAGTGGTTTTATCTAACGACTAAAAATTGTTTAATTGAAATTTTTTTATTAAATAGTCAATGTCAACTGGTTTCACCAGAGATAACAAAAAGCGATTACATTCAAAACAAAAATGTAACAAATGTAACCCAAATCATATCCATGTCTGTGATCACTGCATTGCTCTTTGAGGCCCAAATTTGGGTTTCCAAACCATAATATGTAAGTTTTTATTTTATGCTCTGAATTTTCGTGGTATACTATAAATGCGTAAACAACACACGGTTAGTAATATTTTTTTTGGGGGTTTTATTTACCTTAAATTCGTATCGGTATGAAAAAATATATGAGTCATAATAATACACATGAAAAAGCTTTTTAATGGTAGATGTACTCAGATTTTTCGTACTATTAAATGCGTTAGTATATAAAAGACCTTGGAGTATAATTATGTTAAACATATTCGATATAGACACAAATGTGTTGTAAACCTTTGGGTAGAATTTACAGAAATGAGAAAATTGTAAATATATTTATAGTATATTATTATTTATATAATATTTAAAAAAAAACATAAATTATCACGAATACATATATTATTTGTATTGTATTGTATTTTATTTTTATCCAAATTCCTACAATTGGTCTTAAAACAACTAAAATTGTCTACATCCGGTCATAAATAATATAACTATAATTATTTTTACATTCAACATTTAAAACCTTTATCATTACTTTTCTAAATAATTGTATATTCACTTTCTTAAACGGGAAAACGTATTGAAAACATGTTTTAAGTTGTATTATTTATTTAAAATAAGAAGAATACTTGTTTTGATTTATTGTTTTGTATGCTTGTTCAAACAGTTACAGTCATACACCAATGTCCTAAATAAGAAATTATTCGAAAACAAAAATAACATATTTTATCATCGACCTAGTTAAATTATTTGAAGGCTCCAACGTTAAAACGATTTTGATAATTATTATATTTTGGGTCCAATCATTTTTTACTTGAGTAATTTAAATTGTAGCGCAAAAAATTATATTTTAAGACTAACAGAGTACATTCCATCTCTTATGGAATATTTTTAAGTTAATATAAATATTTGGATAATTAATAGTCGCTCATCTTTTCTGTAAACCATATCCTGTGTAACAAGAAATTTGAATTCCAACCATCATTATGTATGTGAATTAAAAAGTCATGTTGTACATTCATGTTAAATATTTATCCCATCCCTTTAGGTCAGTTCAAGCAGTATAAGAACATATTATTTGTCAGTAAGTGACACTAAATGGGCATCATTTAACAGGATTGCTACCGTTTTTTGAGTATTTAAAATTGTTCTCAACTTCTCCAGAGAGAAAACTATATTTTTCCCTACCCAAAATTTTGTTTTGTTCATTTTTTTAAAATACTTTTTTGAAGAGCTAATCACATGTAATTAGCATTAAATCCAATATTCTAAATTTCACTAGTTTCTCCACGCTTATGTATCAGCTGTTTTCCTAATCAAAATGAATAATTTTTGCTCTCTTAGTACAATAGCTTTTATGTTTGTAAATTTTTCTCAATTTCCATTATAAAGTAAAATTTTAAACAGACATTTTATCGACGCGTAGGTTTGAATTGAAAATCTATTCATTTGCCGGTAAAACGAAATTGTTTTT